CATCACATAGAATGAATAAATCTGCTGACATTGGTATGTTATAAGATGGATCCAATAAACGGTACATGTCGATTTATTTCAGTGTAGGGAGCGAAGAGAATGAGAGTAGAGAGGGTAAGAATGCCCAAAGAATTATGTACGTAGTAAATAGTAAATAGGATAGTATAAAAGAGATTGATTAATTAATTTAACAACTCGAAAAAGGTTTCGGTAGTCGCGTAGGTTCGAACGTGAATTATTTCCGAACTCTAAATCCTAGTAGGGAAGGGGAGTAGACATCAGTGGTTATTCCTCGGTAGGGGTAACACACCTGTTGGGCGGGTGTGCTTGAGCTGGGCGCGGGAAAACATCACTCACCGGGTAGGGGTTTAGTATTGCACCCCTTTGAAATTTGATCGTTGATTGGTAATTATTCGGTGGCCTTGAAAACCGATCTTTCGCTGCCGCAAGAAGGTCTCTATCATGAGGAAGACGGTTGTTTTCATTCTGTCTGTTGATGTGTTCTGTCTTGTAATGTGCACAGAATTACGGGCGCAACATTCCACGGGAGGTGATATATTCATGAAGTGTTCACTGGCACGTTGCGATCAGAATTAAACTTTATTCCATATAACTATTCTACCCTAGCATGAGGGTGGTGGCTACGTGACCCTTTTTGTTGGCTCAGCATAAGTCGCGATCGCACTTATTTTACTTTTGATTATTTTGTCATCTCAGCATAAATCGCCATCGTCCGTTCGTCAGAACTTTGAACGAGTGCGCTTTATGCTGATCGTTTATATTAGGTTCATTTGAAGAGATACGTAAGGTCCGTATCCACCACACGCCATTTCTTAATATATTTAAATAAATTAAATCTACTGCACCCACGAATTGAGGTTTTCCTACGCGCTACATCGTTATTAATATTTTTATGTAATTTTTGAATCTGTAGTCCTAGTATGTAAATTGAATTAGTTATTTTCCAATTATGTATCCAATTCCAATAATAATACATTTGTTTATTTTCAAAAAGACAATCCAACGGCTAAAAGTCCCATAAATCAAACTAACCTAACCAAAATAGATATTATATCAAAAAATCTAACATTACCTACATCATTTCAAATATCAGCTTATCTTATCCACCACTCGTCCTGTTTCCCTTTTCTTATAATATATTTGGGCCTAAATCCTGGAACACTCTATAAGGTCCTTCGTTCATTTCATCCGATGTCGATGTATCTTCTCTTTTTACAAATACCATTTGATCTTTTTTGAATGAAATCTTATAAATATTCTTCTCTGACGTGCCACTTTGTAACAACTCAAGGCAGGAGTAGCCGTCAACAGTGCTGATGATGGAACAGCACGCAGCAACCACCCTACTGCTTGACTGCTTGACGAGAGGAGCAACACAATAGTTGGGTAAAGAATAATTGCATTATAACACACCATCGACTGGAAATGCTCTCGGCAACGTGGGGCTTTAGGTAGTGATGAAACGTCGCTAGAACTATTCCACAGCTGCAGACAGTAATGAGCAAAAGGCGGACGCACATCTTTTGCCTCCGCGTACATCGTACGGGTTAGGCAAAAGGTGTGCGTTTGACTTTGTTCCCGTTGCATTAATGGCCCTTCGCTCATTTTCAACTTCTATTCAATTTGCATACTGCCGTACTCTAACGGAACTATCCACCTACCCTCTTCTAAGATCATTCTCATGCTAATAAATTATCACACTAAAGCTTCATGTTAGATAGCATTTCCAACCAACTCTCTCTTTGTATAATTGTCCTTTCTATCAATCTTTATCTAGCATCTGTTTGTGCTGTTTGTAGACGAAATTTTAGTTCCTTAGCATAATCAAAAAAGTTGTACATCCATTCCGACCATGTGAATGTGCCCCTATTGTCTCATGATGGTATGCTGTACTAGTCAATTTCTCAATTCCCAATAAATCTGCAACATCCTTCATCACGTGGGCGATGAACTCACTATCTCTGTCCGTAGCAATTGTTTTGGGTATGCCGAATTTTAAACCGACACATTCCACAAACGCTTGTGCACGTTTGTCTTTAATTGGTGTTGCAATTATGAACTTGCTTAGTTTGCATTGCACTGTCACTTTTGATTTTTTTTTATTTGGTTGAAAATTTTCAGAAACGTTCCTTAGGACCGACATTTTCCATCTTCATAACGCCATTTTGAATCCAGCCTTATTTTTGAAAAGAGCCTATAGAAAACTATCAAGCTCATCTTCAGAAAATTTTTACTCGAAAACTGTTTGGCTGTAAAAACTATAAAAATGGCCAAAAACTACCAACATTTTAAAAATATCTACTTTCAAACCGCTGCATCTCGAAAACGTTGCGACTTAGCAAAAATTTACTCGGCTGCTTTTTGATTGTAAATTTGGTGTAGTTTCATTAAATAAAGTCGAAACAGTAATTGTGCAATCCTGCCCCCGTCAAGAAACGTCTGGTGCCTCAGCTGGACAAAGCTCCCCATCCCCCCCTGGATTCTGGAGACAACCACCAGCACAAAACGCCAATCCCGATCTCTTCTCTGCGGATGAGCTGATGAAGATTTTCGTCGACATGACCAGCGCTCTTCGCCAGTGCCGCAGCAAGCCCGAACAGATCCAAGTGCTTGGTAAGTTTATTATTCAGTATGGTGTCTAAAACGATAACTGTCGTCACATGGAACGCATGCTCTGTAAGAGCAAAAAGACTCGAGCTTGCTGACTTCCTCCGCAAGCATAGTATCGTCGTGGGCCTCCTAACTAAATGCGATGTGCAACCACATTGCTTCGTCGCATCTGCTTGGCTCCATCATCCAAAGTCCGCTTGAAAATCAGGTTTCACAATGTGTACAAAACATGGATGCCTCCCCTTGTGTCGTCCCTCCGGCAGAAAATATTACAGTGGAGCAGATTTGCTCAGCGCTGAAAAACACCAAGAACATGAAGGCTCCCGGGTTTGACGGTATATTCAACTTGGTTTTGAAGAAGCTGAGCACGAAAGTGTACTCTTTTTTGACTGCTATCTTCAATAGATGATTGGAACTGCAGTACTTTCCAAGTTTCTGGAATGTAGCAAAAATCATACCAATCCGCAAACCCGGAAAGGATCCAACATTGCCTTCAAGCTACAGACCAATCAGCCTCCTTTCAGCGCTGAGCAAATTGTTCGAGAAACTCATTCTCAATGGTTTGCTCAAGTTTGTCGAGGAAAATAACATTCTCCTACCTGAACAGTTTGGGTTTAGGAAGGGGCATTCCACAAGTCACCAGCTAGTTCGGGTGATGAATAACATTCAAAATAACAAAGCTGTATCCTGTATCCAAGTTCACAGCCATGGCATTGCTAGACTTTGAAAAGGCGTTTGACAATGTTTGGCATGACGGAGTTGTGTACAAGCTTTGTAACTTCAACTTTCCACCACATCTTGTAAAAATCACCCGAAACTGCCTCCAGCAAAGGTCGTTCAAGGTATCGTTGAATGGTGCTCCGCAAGGAAGTCTGTTGGTCCCCTTGCTTTACAGCATTTACACTTCCGACATTCCTCCCCTCGGACACGGTTGCGTGTTTTTCCTGTTCGCAGATGATACCGCAATAGCCGTCAAAGGAAGGATGCCTCGCGAAATAACGAACAAACTTCAACGATGCCTTAGCGCCTTTGCTGATTATGCCACCACGTGGAAAATCAAAATCAATGCCTCCAAAACTCAAGCGATCATGTTCCTTCATCGGAAATCGCCCAAACTGAAACCGGCTCCATCTTGTACTGTAATCATGGATGGCACAAGGGTTGAGTGGTCCACCGAAGTAACATACCTTGATATGTTATTTGACGAGAAGCTCCTCTTCCGCTCGCACATAGATAGTTCCAATTTAGTTAGGGTGAACAAACTGGCTGTCTACAAACGCCTTGCGCCTGCGATCTTCTACGCAGCTCCGGTGTGGGAATCATGTGCACAAACTCACAGGAACAAAATACAGGTTGCGCAGAACAGGGTATTGAGGATGATCCTAGGTCGTCCTTTCGATACCCGCATTTCCTACCTCCATCAAGAGGCTAACATTCCGAAAGTAGATTTTCAAATTAACGAAACTAGGAACAAATTTGTGCAGAAATGCAATACATCAGAACATGCTTTGATAAGCAATTTGTATATAGTAGGTTAGGTGTATATAGTAGTTGTAAATTAGTTGTAGTTGTAAATAGTAGTTTTCAGTAGTCTCGTTTTCCAATTAAAAAAAAAACCAATCCCACCAAGGTGGTCATAATTTAACAAGCCTGATAGGACTAGGAACAGTAAATAATAAATAAAATTCTAAAATAACTGAAGTTGAAAAGACGCATCTGTGTCACTTGAAAATTCATACGTGTAAACCAAAAAATACAAGAAATAAAGATCATTCAAAGTATAAAACCGATCAGTCCCGTTGGCGTAGCTATTGGGCATAGAACGTTCAGACTACAGAGTTATAACATGTTATAGCGCTATCTTGATGGCGGTTTCTGTGTTGCAATTATTTGACAACCGTTATAACATGTTATAACTTTCCAGTCTGGACAGTGTATTAGGCAGTTATGCCCCATTTTTTTTAATTTAATTCTGTATTCTCGCGTAACATTTGGAAAGGACATATACTCGTTGATCGATTCTCTTAATTGGCTTTCTCTTTGATTTACCACTGTCGTGCGAGCTTAGCGAGAAATTCGTTTATGTTGCCGTGGTAAATCAAAGAGAATGTTAGCTTTATAGTCGCTATATTCATAGCCTGGCGGAGAGAATCTCGGGAACCAATTGAGCTGTCAAATAGTGGAACCAATCGAGCAAATCACGACCAGCAACAGAAAAGAGCACATCAGCTATTGCGAACAGAACTTCCGTAACCCGTTTTCTCGTGTCCTAAGGCACGCCTACGCAAACTTATAGCGAATTCGTTTATTATCGGGGTTGGAACCAGTTCCAACCCAGTGCAAAACCGAACTTTTTGTCAGTGCGAATCTCAACCTCAACCTGTATAATAAACTAATTTGTTCATTTCGCTCGTTTCGTAACTACGAAGATGTTCAAAACAAACGCAATTCATCGACACTGGGTTGAAGCGATACTCCTTGCATGTGATGGTAAATGATAAAAACAGACACTGGTTGGAACTGAATAATAAACGAATTCGCTATTACACCATCTTTGGGCTGGGGAAAGTTTCCCCTGTCCGATGATGCCGGTAATTTGCGTTCGAATGTCAAGGAAAGAAAAAATATTCATATGTTGGTATAAGCTTTCAGGGCATCAAAATATACATTTTCAACTGTAAACAAAATAAATATGAAGTCATTTGGTAACAGAATTGCTGATATATTCTTATTTGAAGTAAGTGGTTTGAAAAAAAAAATCGGGTCCCACGATATTCCATCACTGCTTTGACCAAATCGTCTCATTTTTGGGGTGAAGACTCTTTAGACAGGTCTCGTGTGCATGACGAAGGCCGATTTTTGAGAAGTGGTTTAAAGAATGATAAAAAATATTTTTACATCTTGTGAGTCTGCACTACAAAGTTCAGCCAATTTGGTCCATCCAGTTCTGAGATATCGTGGGACCCGTAAATCAACTCTGTGTTTCGAGAAAATAGCTTTGCGAGTTTTACAGTTCACTTTGCGCGTGGAACAAAATTCGGTCAACGAACATCAGTTACGAATACGTGTCGATTTTTTGTAACCCCTTAATCAAGAGTTTCACAGCACCCGTATGGCCATTCCCTGCAGCAATGTGAAGTGGAGTTACACCGCCGATTTTTGGAGAGCATTTAACCATTTCCATATTTCCTTTAGGACTTGCAATATGAAGTGCATTTCATTTGTCTTTGTCCATCTCATTTGGTTCCGCATAGATTCGCTTTCAACAGTTCCACAACACTTTTATGGTCATTCAGTTCAGCGATGTAAAGTGGAGTTCGACCAGAGATTGTCTGAGAGTTGGTGTTCGAACCTCGATCAATCAAGATTGTTACCGTTTCTATATTTCCGTTTCGGCATGCATGATGGAGGGCAGTCCATTCCTTATTGTCCACCTTGTCTGGGTCCGCATCATTCGCTATCAACAATATCGCAACACCTGCATGGCCATTCCGCGCAGCAATGTGAAGTGGAGTTTGACCAATGACTGTCTGAGAGTTGGTGTTCGAACCTTTAACAATCAAGAGTTCTACCGTTCGTAAATTTCCGTTTCGGCATGCATGATGGAGGGCAGTCCATTCCTTATTGTCCACCTTGTCTGGGTCCGCATCATTCGCTATCAACAATTTCGCAACACCTGCATGGCCATTCCGCGCAGCAATGTGAAGTGGAGTTTGACCAATGACTGTCTGAGAGTTGGTGTTCGAACCTTTAACAATCAAGAGTTTTACCGTTCCTAAATTTCCGTTTCGGCATGCATGATGAAGGGCAGTCCATTCCTTATTGTCCACCTTTTCTAGGTCCGCATTATTCGGTATCAACATGTGAACAACACTCAGATGGCCGTACCGCGCAGCAATGTGAAGTGGAGTTCGACCAATGATTGTCTGAGAGGTGGGGTTCAAACCTTTTTCAATCAAGAATTTTACCGTTTCTACATTTCCGTTTTGGCATGCGTAATGGAGGGCAGTCCATTTCTCATCGTTCACCTTGTCTGGGTCCGCATTATTCGCAAGCAACACTTCAACAACACTTGCATGGCCATTCAGTGCAGCGATGTGAAGTGGAGTTTCACCAGAGAATGTCTTAGAGCTGGTGTTCGAACCTTTATCAATCAAGAATTTTACCATTTCTACATTTCCGTTTTGGCATGCGTAATGAAGGGCAGTCCATTTCTTATCGTCCACCTTGTCTGGGTCCGCATTATTCGCAAGCAACACTTCAACAACACTTGCATGGCCGTTCCCCGCAGCAATGTGAAGTGGAGTTTGACCAATGATTGTCTGAGAGCTGGTGTTCGAACCTTGATCAATCAAGATTTTAAGCGTTTCTACATTTCCGTTTTGGCATGCGTAATGGAGGGCAGTCCATTTGTCTTCGTCAATCTCATTTGGGTCCGCATTATTCGCTATCAACTGTTCAACAACACTTGCATGGCCATTCAGTGCAGCGATGTGAAGTGGAGTATGGCCAAATATTGTCTGAGAGCTGGTGTTCCCACCTTGATCAATCAAGGATTTGACCGTTTCTACATTTCCGTTTCGGCATGCCTTATGGAGGGCAGTCCATTTCATATCGTCCACCCCGTATGGGTCCGGTTTATTCGCTATCAAAAGTTTCGCAACACTTGCATGGCCATTCAGTGCAGCGATGTTAAGTGAAGATTGACCAAAGATTGTCTGAGACTTGGTGTTCGAACCTTTATAAATCAAGAATTTTACCGTTTCTACATTTCCGTTTCGGCATGCATGATGGAGGGCAGTCCTTTTCTCATCGTCCACCTCGTCTAGGTCCGTATTCTTTGCTATCAACTCTTTAACAACACTCGGATGGCCATTCCCCGCGGCAATGTGAAGCGGAGTTTGACCAATGATTGTTTGAGAAGTGGGTTTCCGACGTCTATTAATCAAGAGTTGAACTATTTTCATATTTCCTTTATAACTTGCAAAATGAAGAGCACTCCATTTCTTATCGTCCACCTCGTCTGGGTCCGCATTATTCTCTATCAAAAGTTCAACAACCCTCGTATGGTCATTCAGTGCAGCGATGTGAAGTGGAGTTCGACCAATGATTGTCTGAGAGTTGGTGTTCGAACCTTTATCAATCAAGAATTTTACAATTTCTACATTTCCGTTTTGGCATGCGTAATGAAGGGCAGTCCATTTCTTATCGTCCACCTTGTCTGGGTCCGCATTATTCGCAATCAACACTTCAACAACACTTGCATGGCCTTTCCCCGCAGCAATGTGAAGTGGAGCTTGACCAATGATTGTCTGAGAGCTGGTGTTCGAACCTTGATCAATCAAGATTTTAAGCGTTTCTACATTTCCGTTTTGGCATGCGTAATGGAGGGCAGTCCATTTGTCTTCGTCAATCTCATTTGGGTCCGCATTATTCGCTATCAACTGTTCAACAACACTTGCATGGCCATTCAGTGCAGCGATGTGAAGTGGAGTATGGCCAAATATTGTCTGAGAGCTGGTGTTCCCACCTTGATCAATCAAGGATTTGACCGTTTCTACATTTCCGTTTCGGCATGCCTTATGGAGGGCAGTCCATTTCATATCGTCCACCCCGTATGGGTCCGGTTTATTCGCTATCAAAAGTTTCGCAACACTTGCATGGCCATTCAGTGCAGCGATGTTAAGTGAAGATTGACCAAAGATTGTCTGAGACTTGGTGTTCGAACCTTTATAAATCAAGAATTTTACCGTTTCTACATTTCCGTTTTGGCATGCATGATGGAGGGCAGTCCTTTTCTCATCGTCCACTTCGTCTAGGTCCGTATTCTCATCTATCAACTCTTTAACAACACTCGGATGGCCATTCCCCGCGGCAATGTGAAGCGGAGTTTGACCAATGATTGTTTGAGAAGTGGGTTTCCGACGTCTATTAATCAAGAGTTGAACTATTTTCATATTTCCTTTATAACTTGCAAAATGAAGAGCACTCCATTTCTTATCGTCCACCTCGTCTGGGTCCACATTAAACGCTATCAACAATTCCGCAACACTCAGATGGCCATTCAGTGCAGCGATGTGAAGTGGAGTTTGACCAATGATTGTCTTAGACATGCGCAAACGTGAATGAATGAAGAATTTTACCGTTTCTACATTTCCGTTTTGGCACGCCATATGGAGGGCAGTCCATTTATTATCGTCCACCACGTATGGGTTCGCTTTATTCTCAATCAACAGATGAACAACCCTCGTATGGCCATTCAGTGCAGCGATGTGAAGTGGAGTTTGACCAATGATTGTCTTAGACATGCGCAAACGTAAATGAATGAAGAATTTTACCGTTTCTACATTTCCGTTTTGGCACGCCATATGGAGGGCAGTCCATTTATTATCGTCCACCTCGTATAAGTTCGCTTCATTCTCATACAACAGATGAACAACCCTCGTATGGCCATTCAGTGCAGCGATGTGAAGTGGAGTTTGACCAATGATTGTCTGAGAGCTGGTGTTCGAACCTTGATCAATCAAGAGTTGAACTATTTCCATATTTCCGTTTCGGCATACATGATGAAGGGCAGTCCATTTCTGATTGTCCACCTTGTCTGGGTCCGCATTATTCGCTATCATCAATTTCACAACACTCGGATGGCCGTTCCCCGCAGCAATGTGAAGTGGAGTTTGACCAATGATTGTCTGAAAGTTGGTGTTCGAACCTTTATCAATCAAGAATTTTACAATTTCTACATTTCCGTTTTGGCATGCGTAATGAAGGGCAGTCCATTCCTCATTGTCCGCCTCGTATGGGTTCGCATTATTCGCTATCAACAATTTCACAACACTTGCATGGCCATTCAGTGCAGCGATGTGAAGTGGAGTATGGCCAAAGATTGTCTGAGAGCTGGTGTCCCCACCTTGATCAATCAAGGATTTGACCGTTTCTACATTTCCGTTTTGGCATGCCTTATGGAGGGCAGTCCATTTCATATCGTCCACCCAGTATGGATTCAAAAATTCAACAGCACTTGCATGGCCATTCAGTGCAGCGATGTGAAGTGAAGATTGACCAAAAATTGTCTTAGAGCGGGTGTTCCCAAGTTTATCAATCAAGAATTTTACCGTTTCTACATTTCCGTTTTGGCATGCGTAATGAAGGGCAGTCCATTGCTTATCGTCCACCTTGTATGGGTCCGCATTTTTCGCTATCAAAAGTTCAACTACACTTGCATGGCCATTCAGTGCAGCGATGTGAAGTGGAGTTTCACCAAAGATTGTCTGAAAGTTGGTGTTCTCAAGTTGATTAATGAATAATTTTACCGTTTCTACATTTCCGTTTTGGCACGCCATATGTAGGGCAGTCCATTGCTTATCGTCCACCTTGTCTGGTTCCGCATTTTTCGCTATCAAAAGTTCAACTACACTTGCATGGCCATTCAGTGCAGCGATGTGAAGTGGAGTTTGACCAAAGATTGTCTGAGAGCTGATATTCGAATATTGTTCAACCAAGAATTTTACCGTTTCTACATTTCCGTTTTGGCATGCGTAATGGAGGGCAGTCCATTTATTATCGTCCATCTCATTTGGGTCCACACTATTCGCTATCAAATTTTTAACAACACTTTCATGGTTATTCAGTACAGCGAGGTGAAGCGGAGTTTGACCAAAGATTGTCTTAGAATTGAGGTTCCCCCCTTTATCAATCAAGAGTTGAATTATTTCCATATTTTCTTTATAACTTGCAACATGAAGTGTAGTCCTTTTATATTCGTCCATCTTATTTGGGTCCGCATTATTCTCAATCAACAGTTTCACAACGCTGAAGTGACCATTCTCAACGGCAGAATGCAGCGCAGTGCATTTATCGAGATTTGCATTGTAACCAATTAGAAATTCACATATTGCTAAATATCCGCATTTCGCAGAGACTTTTAACATATTGCTTAGTTGATCAGTGGAGAACGATTTAAGATTTAGGAATGAAACCAATTTCAGACAACCACTCTCGCATGCCCACAAAGCTACGTCCCAGTTTAGTCTGCACAACTCGTTTAAGGTCTTGGAGCAGTTTTCATTTTCTTCAAGCTTGATCAGTGTCAGTTTCCTAATAACTTCACGTTGAGATAGAACCTTGATCAATATGTTTGGTTCCAACTCGGAAATGTTATCACTTAGATATGTTGCTACGAAGTATTCACCAAATGATAAATGGCAGAACTGAACATCATTGTTGACTACTTTCACCAACATAGACTTTTCTGAACCCTTTTTACAGCGGCTTTTGAATGAGCCATATTTATTTTTATTTTTCAGCTTCTTGAATATATCCATGAGCATTTCAATGTCTAGCAACTTTATCGCTAGCAGTTGATGCTCCAGAATGTACAAGTCAATTAATGAATTGAATTCAGCATCGTTGATATCAACCTTTGTTTTAAATTTTTCTTCAAATTTAATGTGAAAACATTTATGGACAAACCGCTCTAACAGTTGCCCAATATTCAATATGTCTTCTGGCCAATCAAGCGGTTCCGTTTTGTCGGAATTCGCTGCTGACACAAACTGTTCGAATCTGTCAGAGTAAACTTCAGCAAGCATTCGCATCATCAGAGGCAAACCGAACATTTCACTCGAGTTGGATAAAGTGCCGGAATGATATTTTTTTAAAAGAAGTTCCGAAAAGTCTTCAACAACTTTCTCATCAACACTGTTTTTCATCCATATTTTCTTCAAGTACCGGATCTGGTCCTCATGTTGAAAAGGGACTAGGAGTATTAGCTCAAACTTAATTTGCCGGGTTTCCTGCACGTGGAGTCTCGAGCTGATTATAAACTGAATACTCTTTTTGAAACTGAGCAGTTCGAGTATACTAATTACTTTCTCGGTGTATTTGGAATGTATTTCATCAAATGCGTCCAATGCTAAAATAATGGAATATCCTACGTCATTTTGACTTTCCGGGGCATCTAGGATGAGATTACAGTTAGTCTCTGAAAGAACATTGCTGAGAATTTCCCGGACATCATTTATGTTTGATACTTTTTCTATTTCGTCGAGTTTCTTACATAGCGTGCTTAAACGCATTAAGAATACTGCAGAGTGGTTTTTTTTTTGAGCTTCAAATGACAAAAACTGCAGTAAGCTGGTTTTTCCCATACCGGGGTCTGCCACAAGTAAAATATGTTGCTGACTTTTAAATTTTCCTCGAAGCTCTTCAACAAACTTAGTATCACTTATCGTTCGAACTATTGAGCTAGGCCTATTCTTATCTGCTACTTTGTCGTTGCCTGACATTTTTTGATCAATGCTTAACATTCCTCCGGTTGGTTCTAATGCTGCCTCTTCGTACTTTAAATGACGATTAATATACGTAAGTTGCCATTCTTCCGCCACTGCCATTTCGCGCTTTTTCACACCCGTCTGCATTTCACGCTTTATTTGTTCAAAGCATTTTTCTATATCTAGTTTCATCAAACTGCGCAAACTTTTTTCGTCAACAGGTTTGCTACATTCGTCAAAATAATCTCCTAAAACGCGCTTACTTTTTTTGTCAACAGGTTTGTTACATGCGTCAAAATAAGCTCCCAGGTCGATATACACCTGCTCCCAGTCCTTTTCCCTCAGCTGACCGAAAATTTCCGGCTGGATCCAAGTCTTCATCCAAGCCTTTAGTTCAGCAACGATGATAGGTCGCAAATCGTTCGGTTGACCTACCGATAGCGTAAAATCGCGAAAGAAGTTACGAATGTCATCCTCAACAACGCATGGTGGCAAAACTGTTTTCCTGGAGTCTTTCGCCAGGAAATTATTTTTGACGGTAACTTCTTTCTCCATATCAACCTGATCCCTTTGCAACATATCGTATAGCATGGCAACATCGGGATTTGGATTTTTAGCATTGACAAAGCGACACTTGTTCTTGTTTATGATCATAACGTCTTTCAATGGAGTGCAATATTGAGTAAAAGTTTGGCTGACCGTTCCACTGTGAAAGAACTCTTTGACCGCATCTTTAATCGCAATGATATCTTTGTTGATGTAATTGCACATATCTTTGATAGCCGTCTCGGTTGGCATAAGTTTTAGGTTTTTGGCACTGGATCCAGAAATACGTAGGATTTCATTTTCTTCCCGTTCTTCGATCTTCACCAACTTGTTATCGGTCAGTTTCAGAACCTTATTGGTGAAGATGTAAAACATCTTATTGTATGCCCTTTCTTTCAAGCTTCTAGTCACACAAAAGTAGGATTTGGCATACTTGTACAAATCAAAGTCTCCGTTGCGTTTGGCACTATTTCCAGTCGGAAACAGGGCATCCTGCGTGAAACATTGAACCTGTTCATCCTTGGTATCGGCGTGTTTTGCTTGAATTAAGTGGATCTTCTCGTTTGTATCGTCAAACAACACAATGTCGTCAAACTTGTCGGCCATCTTCATTTCATACGCCATCCTTGTAGTGGAACTTGATTCCCGCATAAGCAGCCACAGTGCGAGGGCAATGTCTTTTTGGAATATTTCGCCGTGGCCACCCGACGTAATTTCACTTTCATACAGTTGTTGCAACATTGTGTTCGACCTGAAAAAAAGGATTGATATTTCATTAACTCAATAAGCTATGAAGGTCATGCGTAAAAAAATTACACTATAAAAACAATAATAGATATAGAATTTGAAATAACATTGAACAGGAAGGTTAAATACTTTACGCCGACTACGAAGCCGCCGAAAAACGTGTAACGGCAAGTTTGCAATGACATTGTTTAGCTATTTCTTGATGAATTTCAAAAATAGTGGAGAATTTCTACACGGTAAGAAAAAAGTACCCAAAATAAAATTCCTTTCACTCAACACGTGGCTTCAGTGAGGCTAGGTAAAATTAAGTTAAAAAATAAAACTCTATTTTGAAAAATACTGATCAAGAATTAATTGAGTGAATATTACCTAACGATCAATAAAATGGAATAGGTAAGCTTTATCCAACGTTGGATTTTTTTTTTTAAATAAAGGGGGAGAGGTAGCTCATCGATTCTTCCGGTTCGCCTCCTAGCATCGTGCTATAAGGTACCAGGCGATAACCAGGGTAGTTGGTCGATAGCTCGATGACGTCATTTAGTTGGCGTCTGCAATGGGGAATTCTCATAGCAGGCGTTGACGATGGGACGTTGTCGAGTTGTTGAATAGCAACTATCGTGGTAACTCACCGATTATCTGTCGATCTGCCAAATTTGGAAAGACGTCTGCATTGAATTGTCTCATATAATAATATTCCGCCCACTATATCACAAGAAATTGCGAGTAGCTGAGTGGAATGGAGATAAGTTAAGCATTGGGTACAGGACCAAGTCTCCCCTGGGTGGTGCCAAAAGATGAGCGCAATATAATCATCAAGTTGCCATAAGGCACGGAATGAGACTATTGCATGGCTGGGTAGTAAAAGTCTTCCATTCGTTACACGGCGAATGAGAGCGACTCAGGTTTGAGTTTGGTTCACTCATAGTCGCCGGGAGTGCGGGAGCTCAGCGATGGGTTAATTTGCCTCATGTTTTCCCAGGTTTTTCCAGGATTTTCCAGGGAAAAATTCCCGAATTTGAGAAAAGTAAAGATTGG